TTGCGTCTCATAGAATTCCTAAGCGTACCTACCTATACACCGAACTGTTACACCTAACTACTCAGTGCAATAGCGCTAAGTCCTAGCTGCAAGACGCAAGAGTCTTGCAGGCTATGTCTTGTTCTTGCTCAAGTCTTGCACGATCAGTCTTGGTCTTGGTCTTGCTAAAAATACGCGGTCTTGTTCTTGGTCTTGGTCTTGCAAAAACGCAAGAACAAGACCAAGACTGCAAGACCAAGACTGAATTTGGGCAACACTATTTGAAACCTTACCTGGACTTCCACGAACATTTCAAAATCAAAATAGCCAAATCAATTCAGCCGTTCTCGAGTTTTAGCGAGACTTATAAACAGAATTAATGTTTATTTATATACCATTACCTAGATACCTAGATTTAATATAGTGTAGATACTTTGTATGTCGTTCAAACACCATTGCAAAGTGTTTACTCAGTTAATTGCTATAGCCCACCTTGACTTTTGCCACTAGAATACTTAGTGATAACGAAGTATTTAATCTAATGGTCGTAAGTTTAAAATAGAAGATTGTATGCACGATGTTTCATTGGATTTTCGCCTCCCTACTAATGAGGCTAACCTACTACAGATGTTATAATTATCTTTTCAGAATGGACGTCAGCAATAACTTGCTCGATAAATTACAATTGTACGGAGTCGGTCAACGCAAACTGGATGATGTTCTATTTGTGAACGACAAACCGCCTCCCAGACTTGGGATATACGACTTCGATGAAGAAATCTTCTGCCATGATTTGTAAGTATTTTATTAATGCAATTTAATTATACCACAATCTGAGTTTAGGTAGACTACAAGTCTTCTCTACATAAGAGATCTTTACCCTTGGTTAGGTGGGCTGAAAACAGCACTTTTAAATTAATTAGAAAAAAACTGCTGCCCTGTTTCTATCAATGTTCCTTAATATTTTGGCTTATAAAAGGCGGCGGAAAGGGGGATTATTCCAAACACAAAAGTTTTACGGTATTAAGTCTACCTATTGTTCTGTGTATAAAGCATGTTAAATAAATAAAACACTACAGATTTATTGTGTGCATAGATACTTCTAATACTGATATAATTTTATACTCGCTTCACATGACATGTAATAAAAAGCAAGGCCACATACGTCTTGAGTCGTGTTAGTAATTTTATCCGCCGTGTTATATAACGCGCCATGGAAAAAAAGCACCTTGTCTGGAGACCACCTCGTTCTTCAACTACTAGCGATTAGATCCAGTATATCTGAGTATATCACTCAACCTACGAGCCGCAGTCCGCACGGGGCCTGCCGAGCCTTTTTGATTGCCCTACTTGAAGTTCCGATGCTCCATTGTATTTCAAATTTCGCACCTACATATCGTATCTATGTGAACGAAACATTCAGGGATCGTAGCTAAAGACAAAAATCTAGCTAACTAGTCATTTCTTATTCTATTTTCTTGTCCTCTTATTTATAAAGTAAATAAGTGCATTTGATTAATAAATTCTCACTTGCGGCCTCCGGGCTCAATGACTGAAACGTTTTTTGGCCTCCCTTTCTTGTGCATATAAAAAGTCCTAAAATCAAGGTTTAATGGTATTTGGCGCAAAGCATTAGTGAATTTTTCGATTTCAGAATTTATTTTGACTCATAGGTACATAGGTCCTACATAATTGCCCTTAACTTTTCAATTTGAGCTTTATTAGATCTGAAGAAACGAACATTTTCATTCATTTGAGGTCGGGTTTTATCACCCATTTCCGCGCTGCAGTTTGGTAACTAATAGCGTCCGTTTGAAGGCCAAAGTAAACATGTAACGCATTAATCGGTTATTGACACGTATAACCGATGCCGAAAATAGTATTTTTATAAGCTTGAAAGCAACGGCTTACTCAGCAAAATTTTTTCAGTTGTATATTACTGTATCTTCAGAAATACTTAATTTATTTGCCAAAAATGTAGGTAACAAATATGTTGTTTTATAACATATGGAGAGTCCCGGTACATTTTGCCTTACCTACGGCATGCAAAATTATTGAGTTAATTGAATACATTGTCTAAGTCGATACGTTTACATCTATATAATTCTATGCAATTGAGACACAAATTATAAAAAACATAGGTATTGCTAGTATAAAAAAAAACAAAATTAATTAATAACAATCGAATCATACAGAATTAGGCACAACACAAGTGATACAAAAATACCTACTTATAAATAGAACATCAGAAATTTAGATTTCTAAGATATTTCTTTTATTTTTCTGCTTTAAACGAAACTAGAATGTGTAAATGACAGCTGGCCGCTAAGAAAACATAACCGAAGTTTTTTATTCTTCTAAAAAGCCTTGATTGGATTACAATAGCGAATCGAGGGAGTTGTTCTCGAGTTTTGCACTTAGCAACAGGTTTTATTTATTGCGTATCGCATTGCGTATACTGTACCGTTATAAAATATTAGATATCAGACGTAGGTTTGCAAGGTAAATTAAAATAAAGGCGTTTCCATAAGATTTTAATTAATAGCTCGGTTATTGTAGCGTTGCCAACCGTCTGGTTAAAGCAGAATAAAAACCTTTTTCATTGCCAATGCTGCCCAAATTTGTAGTGGCCGACCTCTCTGGCTTTTTATATTACGGGATTTGCGTGGTATGAAGTGCAATTTTAAAATATAGCTTATATATTAAAAACGATTTTATAATTTTGTAGCGCTAAAGATCGATTTATTTACTCTCCGTTGAATCCTTACTTCCTTACTTCCTTACTTTCCTTACTTCCTTACTTATATTATAAATCAGAAAGTGAGTTTGTTTGTTTGTTTGTTTGTTCCGCCATCACGCCGTAACTACTAGACCGATTGCTTTGAAATTTTGCAGACGTAAAGTTAGAAGTCTGAATTAAATAATAGGGTACTTTTTATCCCGGAAAAAATTGATATTTCCTAGGAAAAACAAAAATATTGGTATAGATGGCGCTGTGTGTACTGGTATAGATGGCGTTGTATGTGAATTTAAAAGCAGTCAACGAATTACCTACTTATTGGAAAAATCTAAATAGCGCGATATAACCGTTTTCCACGCGAGCGGAAAGCTATTTGTTTGTTTGCCTGTCTTAAACGGCAGAACGGAGGTAATAATTAACGTGATTTTTTAACTGAAGGTGGAACTTTTGAACGGATGGATAGTCACATGGGCTACTTTTTATCCTTTTGTGACGCGAGCGAAGCCGCGGGTAAAAGCTAGTAATATTATACAACCAACCTGTACTGAAGGACACGATTTAAGTATTTATTTTTCATTTCAGGGTAGTATCAACTTGCACCATACCGGGATGCTCATTCAAAACGGAAACCATATTGGATTTTGAGAACCACTACAACTCAGCTCACAGGTACAGCTGTTCACAATGCAAAAAGATTCTACCCACTCCTCATTTGCTGGACTTGCACATTCAAGAGACACACGACTCCTTTTTCGCTGTGTTATCCGAGAAAAAGCCTTCGGTAAGACAACCACATTTTTTCATATACTTAGTACTTTTTATATACTGTTTCGTTGGCCGAGTGGTCGCAAGTCCCGGGTCGGGCAAAGTATTACTGGGTTTTAAAAAAATTCTCAGTAGTACCACGGAGTCTGGAAATGTGCCCGGTATATGACAATAGGCTCACCCCCTATTACATGGGAATGGGACTGATAACATAGATAGTGAAAAGTGGGTGTTACATTGTACAGTGGCATTAAGTCCGTAATGTGCTCCTCGGCCTACCCCTTCGGGGATTAAAAGGCGTGATGTTATGTACTTTTTATACCTCAAGCTGAAAAGTTAATATTTGATCAAGCTTATCTCTGGATTTTTGACGTGACAACGTCTTATAAATTGGTTTGCCGGGTGATACTTCAAGAAACTGCGTTACGCTCCGCTCACGTTATGCGCTCACAATGAGAGCGAGTGAGAGGCACGCGTCCCTTCCACTCGGGCATGGTTAGCCCGCCTAAGAGCGAGAGAGACAGACATAAAAATTTCATCCTTCTTCCTACTATATGAATGAATATTCACATTAAAATTATTTTACCACTCAAAGTCGTTGTCACGTAAAACTTTCGCCCGTATACCGACTTTACAGGCAACCAATTTTTTTTTATGTATAGCCCAGAATTATTTATAGGCGCGGTTGTAGCCAGTATAAATGAAGTGTCAATCAATGAAAAGATTGATGAATGTAGATGAAACAAAAAATTATGTCAGAATATTCCATTAGATTTTAAATTGTGCCGATGGCAGAGATGTAGTCACTAGACCGAAAACAGTTCATAACAATGGGGTAGACGACTAATTTTTATTTTAATGTCCGTCTGGTAGATTATTTAAAAACATTAGATACGTATTTTTTATTTTCTCACAGAAACGAATAGTTTCGAAGATATATTGATTTGAAATGTCGCGTGACGTCACTTCTCAGTACATTTTATACTAAGGAATGACGTTTTAGCCCCCACTCCTAAACTTTGATTCGTTTTATCTAAGTATTGTTTTATTATACGACAAAATAAAAAAATACGTGTCCAATATTTTTTCATTACCTAACTTACGGACTAATTATATTTTTAATTTTCATACCCTGTCATCATCCCCATTGCTAACATTTTATTGCAACACCGATTGAATTTGGAAGACTTTACTCTTTACTATAGGCACGGTTCTAGTGAATGAAAATATACATAACGTAGTTACTAAATTCAGACTGCCTCGTTGGCCGAGTGGTCGCAAGTGCGACTGCCGGGCAAGGGGTCTCGGGTTCGATTCTCGGGCCGGGCAAAGTATTACTGGGATTTTAAAAAATTCTCAGTAGTAGCACGGTGTCTGGAATTGTGCCCGGTATATGGCAATAGGCTCACCCCCTATTACATTGGACTCATAACATAAATAGTGAATTGGGTGTTATATTGTACAGTGGCATAATGTGCACCTCTGCCTACCCCTTCGGGGATAAAAGGCGTGATGTTATGTGTTATTTTAGTTACTAAATCTTGTAAAATTATTATTTCACAGTATTCCTGCTACATACAAGAATGCCCACAGAAGTTCATGACCGCTAATGACAGATTACAACATTGCGTCGACGAACACAAGTTACCAAAAGAATTTCGGTTCGATACGAAACCATGTCACAAAGGCAAGAAGAAGGGCAAATCAAAACAGAGTTCTGGCAGTAATGACCAGTCCATGGAACACGATGGTGAGACCTCAAGCGACGTGAAAAAGAAAGTAGTCCTAACTACAAGCAAAAATAGGACATTTGCAAAATACTGCGGCAAGAAATTCACGAAAAATGACACAAAAACTTCTAAAGATGTCAACATGGATGAAGTAATGGCAGATTTGAAGGAAAGTTTACCGGAATAAAAGAAATAAATAATGTTTAAATATGTTTTTATTGTAAGCCCACAAACATTCTACGATAAATATTAAAGTGGTAACCACTAGACGGTATGTTGGCATACATCCAAAAGAATCTCTTTGACTTGGAGCTTTGTTGTTAAATTTTAACATTCATTAGAGATTCCTTAGCATATTTTTTCTTATAATTGAAATAAAATTGTCCATATACTCAGTACATAAATTAGATTCTATATAACAATCTCAACAGGAATCATAATTTTGAATGACTAACAAAATAAATAACTTATTTAACTTAAATTTACTTGGCTTTGCCCTGGTTGGCAACAGATTCCATTGCTTTCCTTACAGTTTCTTCATCACCAAGGAAGACCATGGAATCAACTGGTTTCATGTCCTCATCCAATTCATAGACGAAGGGAATACCAGTCGGGAGGTTCAGTTCCATGATGGCCTGGTCACTAAGACCTGAAAATTAAATAATTCAAATGTAAAATTTTAGGTGGCTTAAACTTAATGGCAACGGGGTCATTACATGCAACTCACGAATAATTTTGCATGGTTATGTATTTAAAGAGTTATAAATAATGTAAGTAAATTATAAAATGTAATAAAACATACCATCTAAATGCTTCACAATACCCCTGAGGCTGTTGCCGTGGGCAGCGATAATGATCCTCTTTCCAGCTTTGATCTGAAAACATAAGACCATAATAAATATCATGAACAGAATGTCTTCCTTTAGTTATTTTATCAGTAAGTAATATGAAATAAATAATGTTACTATCACATTTTATCACTAACTTTTATAGACTACAATAAAGAACAAATAAAACAGTATCTCGTCTAAGTTAGCCTTGAACCATGATAATCTGGCAGGCCAGTTTTTAAATATTTTATAGGTACCCCAAAGTTAGGCAAGCAAAGCTCCTAGCAAAGATTATTATTATTATTACCTGAGGTACAATAACATTATTCCAGTAGGGCAGAGCTCTCTCAATGGTCAGTTTCAAGCTCTCATGGCTGGGGAACTCATCCTTCTTCGGCTCCTCGGCATAGCGGGGATCATTCACAATAGTTTCATAGTAAGGATGGTCCTTCTCCATTGGTGGTGGGGGGACATCGAAGCTACGGCGCCAGATGTGGATCTGTGGAATGAAATAATTAGGGATTCATTTCTGTATAATTGCAATTTTATCGCTTGCTTTTTTATTATAATTCGGGGCTAGTTTTATTTCAAGACTGATGGACAATTCTTCAAAGTTATAGTTAAGTAACTAATACACATTTGTTGGTATGTTTGGATGCTTTAGTTTTTATCATTTTCAATGAACTTTAATAGTTGACTTGTACAGGACACCAATAGATAGAAGATGGAAACATTAAATTGTAGATTGTTTTGTAACCATGTAGTTTTTTCACCAACAGCAATTCAAATAAATGATTACTAAATACATACAATGGTGATTGTGGCAGCTATCTAAATTCAGACTAAAAGTACAAATTGTATTTTTGATATATTTGTTAGGTCAAATAAGGACTGCACATACAATAAACTGACAAACTTGAACCAACTATTATTACACCTTTGACTCGTATTAGTAGTGATTGATTGTGTAGTGTAATATTGAATGACTTAGATACCTGGGCTTCACCATACTTTGCAGCCGTCTCAGCTTTGTTAAGACCAGTAAGTCCACCGTAGTGCCTCTCATTCAGGCGCCAGGTCTTCTCAATAGGTAAATCTGTCTGGCCAATCTCTTGTAAGATAGTGTTCAAAGTGATTTGAGCGCGTTTCAGCATCGAAGTGTAAGCAATGTCAAATTCATAGCCTTCAGATTTCAAAGCTTTTCCAGCAGCACTAGCTTCTTCACGTCCTGGAAAATGTATAGATATGGCATGTATTAGCATTTTTCTACATCTAAAAATTACAAATCGGAAGTGAATAAAATTTTGAACTTACCCTTGTCACTAAGGTCAGAGTCAAACCATCCACAGAATAGGTTTTTCTTGTTCCATTCACTTTCACCATGGCGAATCATTACAACCTTGTATTTTCCAGGCATCTTGAGTTAATTAATTAAAATTTTAAACCGGCAAAAATCTCTGCAATCAACACCTTCAGCTTTCCTCTCCTCTGACGTAAATAACCTGGATGACCTCTAACCAAAGTCAAAATTATCAATACTGGTTCCACAGATAATCCAGAATTTTTAATGGTAAAAGCTCAAAAAAATCGACTAAATGAAATATACAGACATAGTATAAAGAATACTTTATACTATGATACAGAGGTGCAGCACTAGGCAGTATCCAATGTGCGAGTGCCAGTTTGAGAAATTGAGACTGCTGTTTTGCAAGTTACAAGTTTACAACTTTTGCATTTCGTTCGGCGCAGTGTAGCTAAGATAATTTTATTTTCATAACCTTAATTTTTAAATCAAAATAATACCGTAGGAAAAACTTACGTGTAAGATTGTAAAAAGCAAAGCAGTTTCATATATCATAATTTTACGAATAATTTGTATCAACTGAAAACCATTTCATGCACCTAACGTTTTCATTATTTTACAAAAATGTCACCTAAAAAAAGTGTTAAAAATCAGCGACCTAAGAGAAAGAGTACAGAAAAACTACAAAACAAGAAAGAAAAACCTAAATCCAATATGCCTACCAACATTAAAGTTAGCATACCTATACGGAATAACATTGGGAACACAGGTGAGTGAACAGTTTGCACAGTCTGCAGAAATAAATAAAGCTTGTCTGTACCTACAGTCTCATATTTCTTGGAAAACTTCTAAGAACAAATAACACTCTAACACGACGTGTTAAAGTTATTTAACCTTAAAACAACAAGGTTTCGTTATAAAATTTCTTTGCAAAAATTTTCTTCTTACGTACATCAATGAGATTAAAAAAGATAGATTTGCATTTTCATCTTATCTAGTGTTCCTCGAACACACTAGACATTGTTTTGCAAACATGTTTTTGTTTTTCACATACAAATTCTACAAAATAAGAACTAAAGTAAAATTATTATTAACTAGCTGACCCAGCAATCTTGTACCACCTCAAACATTCTTTTTCTCACCGTTTCAACCTTTCCTGGACTTCCATGGACATGTCAAGACTAAAATTAGCCAAATAGGTTCAGCCATTCTCAAGTTTTAGCGAGACTAACAACAGTAATTCACTTTTATTTATATAGGTACTATCTTTTCACCCATTATGAATTCAGAAGTTTACCCACAAGTAGATCCCCGTCCCTGCATCCAAAAATAATTAATAAAATAATATACTATTATATTAATTATTCTTATAGAAGAAGGAATTCACTTCCCGATTGTTCGAGGGAAGCGACCTCCCCAGTTCAAGAGGCACTTGGATACAAAAACTCAATTAGATCTCGCAAATACAGGTATATTATGACCATTTAAGTTTTTTTTTTATTAATGTATGTATCACTTATCAACTATAAAATAATCTTTAATATCTAATCATTTTAATCATATGAAATATCTTCCAGTTGCAAGACAACAACTAATTAAAGAAGAACCACCAATATTTCAGTTAGACAATATAGTTATAATTCAAAAACCAATGAAAAAAGGAAGAAAAAGAAAAAATACTGACTATTACGATGAAGATGTAGCTATGGAGCCTATGGACAATAATGCAGGTTTGTTACCATATCTTTTAGTCCATGGTGAGGACAGTGGTATAACATCCTTTTATCCTCACTTTTTTAAATAATAGAATGTAATACTATAATAATATATTTCCAGACCCGATAAAACAATTTGAAAATCGGAATGTTAAAAAATCCTTGCTCAGATGAAGAATCAATTTCAAAACTCCCAAATTATTTTTCTGTGTAATGTTCTTATGTATTATTTCTTTTACAGAAAACGTTGTGACTTCAACTGATACTAAACCTCAAAAAATAAAAGTACCTACCAAACCAACAACTACAAGAATTGGTAAATATTCTATCTTAAAATTTTAGTATTGTCTAAAATTTGCGTAATATTTGTTGTAATTATTATAATTTTTTTCAGTCACTAGAAAAAGGTTGGCTGACTCAACAGCCAATAGTCAACCAACATCTTCAAAAAAAGCAAAAGTAGACACTAAATTACCAAAAACTGAAATAAAAGCAGAAAAACACATTGCAGCTGAAGAGATTGTACCTGACAGTAAACCAATAGTAGAATCGCAGGTTAAACCTGCGGCAAGGAGAGGTAGACTTGCATTGAAACCACTGCGGCCTAGAGCCAATAAACCAGCACCAAAGTGCCGTGTTGCACTCAGGAGAGGATCCAAAGGTAAGCAAGAAAACGCAGACCCTTCTAATAAATTACCTCCAATACCTGACCAACCCAAAACATTGGCAAAAATAGACACAGAAACCGAAAATGCCCAGCAATGCAACTCAGCACCCATAGGTTCCAGGAAGACATCTGTCAGCAGTTGCTCTAACCAGTCGTGGACTAAAGATATATCTAGCTCAAGCAACACAACGTGTATTACAGCATGTTCCAATGATTTTGTCCGTATCAATAAGAAGTTACCAATGTTAGTTCTCAGTAATATTGATAATGACATGAAAAACAAACTAACAAGTACCCAACAGCTTCAGAACCGTACAGAATTTGTTCCACCGGCTGATCCAATTGACTCTGATGACTCTTCATCAGACTCCTCTGATTCTGATGGTTCGGACAGCGAGGAAAATTATTCTGATCCCATAAATGACATAATAGACGGTAACTCCATCAATCTAAGTACCTCCTCTCAGCCTAGTAGCCGCATCCCAGACGATATCAATAAACAAAACTCTGAGGATTATACTAAAATAACTGACACACTAATTATGTTAGTAGAGAAGTTAGATATGGAAATAATAAATTGGATTAGCTCAGATAATGAACAGAATAACGCAAACCTTGTGAAATTCAAAGACAAAATGTTTGATATTTTGGATGATGAATTTGGTGTAATCACACATAGTAGTCGTCTCAAACATATCTTAGATCCCGACAATACTGAAGATGCTGCCGTTGAATGTATCCCTAAAATCGTTGAAAGAGCAATCGTAGAAAACAAAATCCTTCATAAAGATTCACCACCCACTCTGGTTAAAGAAACTACCAAGGCTCCTGAAAAGGACTTTGTGGAACCTAGACCTCTTCCTCTTAGGAAATTATCAATAAATCTTGAGAACTATGCTTCGAGTGCGAACACTAAAGTTCCGAGAGACGAATTTTTTGAAGACGACATGCAGGCCAGCACCTCTAAGAATAACTACAGCTATGATCATCATGATGACGACGATGCACTCTCTTTGTTCGCTGAAAGCATAACGGGTTTTGAATCTTCTAGAATGAATACATCAATTGTTTCGTACCCTGCGTACAATGCGCGCCCCGTCGAGGAGTACATTCCAAGACCTGTTACTGAAATCTCCCCTTCAAACGTAGAAAAACATACTTACCTTCCGACCAAAATCGCAGACGCTGAAGTAACAGCATCTAAAATTAAATCTGTTATTGAAAAACAAAATGCGGATTCAACGTCTATTTATAAACAAAGTAATAGCACAGAGGACGCTGACGCTGAGAGTTACGAAGACTTTAGTGAGAATATAGAATTAAATGCAAGAGTAGGACCACCCGATGTGGAAAAGACACCGCGTCTAATGGACAATATATTGAAAGGAATCCACGCGCGCGGAGTATTGTGTTCTCCAACTTATGTTTCTACAACTTATTGAACTGTTGCCGCAAGGTATACTCGGGCCAGTGTCGCTTTCTGCATGTGATACCTACCTGCGAGCAAATTAAAGCAAAGATTAGTGTGTTAGACGAAAGGTTGTTGATACAAGAGTACATGCTGCTAAGGAACTGGACGGAGATCAGGAGGAGGTTCGGCATGTGCTATGTCGAGGAATGTGCGAAACGTGGTCTCACTCGGATACTCGTTGAAATGGCTTACGACTTCATCGTAAAAGCTAGAAATGATTCTGAAGAAGACACACGGATTAGAGTAAATACTATAGAAATAACTTTATTGCATTTGAACTCTGTTGACTTGTGTATATGTGAGGATTTGTTAAAACTGCCCGTCCACGCAGAACAGGGCAACAAGACACTGCTGTGCGACGTGTTTATGGCCACGATGTCTATAACGCAAAACTTTTCAAGATTCAAAATAGTGTTCTTAACTCTTACTTATTTCATGGTGGATAACGACAGGACGTTTAACAAGGATGTGGTCGAACACATCTTGGAGCGCGTGTGTATATTGCCGTTCGAAGAGCCGATAGCGAAGGCTTTGATACAGATGATGCGGTTGACGAACTGTGCTATTTTTAACAACTCAATGATAGGGATGTTTGAGAAGCAAATATCTGTGAACAAGGATGTGTTGGAAGAGTACATGTTGCTGAAGAACCAGTATGCCTTCTCATCGATGCTGGCGTCATCGATGATAGCGGAGTGCTCGCAGCTGAAGCTGGACAAGCCGCAGTCGGTGCAGTCGGACGCGGGCGACGGACAGCCGCCGGCGGCGTCGCCCGACACCACTAACATCAGCAACGTGGTGAGTCTTAATACTCATTTGAAAGAAATAAATACATTCATTTGATGTCGGCATTATGGCCAAGATAAAAAAACAGTATATTATAACAAAACATAGAAATAAAATGTAAACAAAATAAAGTGAAAAGAATACAAATAATAATAATAATTCCCAGTGGGTACTATGCAGTATTGGCAACATGCCTATAACAAAAAGGTTGCCAACTCAGAGAAAATTGAGCGCACTGAGCACCCAACACATTAGGCCATGGAATATTTTTTTTATGGGATAGGCTGGTAAACGATCCGGCCGATCGCCTGATGGTAAGCAATCGGGAGATTAGGGTGGGGGGTAAATGTTCTAAAAAGTGTCCATGGATCAGGCATGGAGAATTTATTTCACTATTTAGTGTATCTTTGGAAGTATTATAAAGAGTGTTATATAACTATCGTGAGACATAATAAATTAACTAAAAATCGCGGATAAGAGTAGGCTGCGCGACCTGCTCATGAGGAAGAGCCCCTCTATGGCTCGAAACTAGTAGAGCTTTTCTTAGTATATTCACGTGAATAACCCGCGATTTTTAGTTATAATACAGAGTATTTTTGTTTATTATACTTTCTAGTACATATAAAAAGTATAGTTGATGACGATCATGAAATTAACTAATATTGATTTTAGCAGAACCAACCGTCCGAAGAGCCTCCGGTACCGGTCATAACGCGGACTATAAGCATGGGCCCACCAATTACGTTCAACCACTCTCCAACGAAGCATGGTCCATTATATGTTCAGGAGAACTCTGGGGCCCCGCGACCTACTTTTGTGTCGCCTAATGACAACAATACAAAGAAATATTGGCGGCATCGGTCGATATTGAACAATATCATGCGTCCTCCAACGGTCACGCCGCGCACCCATATAATGAGACCTCCGATGCTCCCTCAAATGCGATCTCGGCCGCGACCTAACTTTAACCAGCGGCTGGTGACGTTCAGGAGCCCTTCTGTATGTATACTTAATTTTGTACCTCCTGCGGGCTAAATGGTGAAGTTTTATTATTACAATCTAGTAAAAATCTTTACCTATATCCACATATAAAATGTCTATTTTATATAGTAATAGCTCATTTGATTCCGTACCAATACGCCGGAACAGAATAAATATTCCATAGATATTCCAGTTGTGTTCAGAGTCCCATGATTACATGATTATTACACGTCAAAATCGAAACAAGACCGCGTTCGGTGTTCTGATTGGCCGGCTCCAATTAACCAACCAATCAGAGTGTCGAACGCGGTCTTATTTAGATCTCGTTACACTTAAAACCAACTCGTGCTAATTCTCAGTTGTGTTGTGGCTAACCTAAAAAAAATTAACTGTTCATGACGGTGTTTGAGTGTGAATGCAATGTATGCAAGTAAATGTAGCATGTATAGGAGTAAAAGTAGAATAAATTTACTAATATTGTAGAAATAAGTCCTTGAAAAGTTCTTAGTTCTGATCTCACTTTTACTGATGACGTAAATGATGAAATCGTGCTATGAACAAACTACTAATACCTATAAAATTTCTTTCAGAGCTATATGAACAGACCACCCGGACCCAAGTACTGAAATTCTTCACCAAAGTAAGTATGTTAAGTTTTCAATGTAAAAATACTTTAAAAAAATACCTAAGCTACCTACAATGTTGTAATTATAGGTATTTAAGCCTTATTCTTTACCTTAGCGGTATTGTAATATAGTATAGTCAAACATTTGTAAAATTAAAGTAATAAAACTTTAGTTTATATTCCAAAAATACTTATTCAATTAACAAAACTTATTTTGGCTGGTTGAGTGATTTTTTTTTGTTTTTTTTTATGGAGGACGGAATCTTTTTTCCATAAACTCTTTGGACATAATTGCGCAAAATGCAAAACGCAAATTTGTTTTTTTTTTCTTTATTAGTGTTGTCTTACATTTTTTTGACTGTGCCACTAAATTGCTTGTTCTCAAATATTCTTTGTCGAATTATAAGCTTTGTGATATTTGTTTGTAACATAATAGTTTAGTTATTTGCAGACTTTGTCATTGAAAAATGATGTAAGTAATATCTGAGTTAGTAACTTTTTTTTATCTAACATCATGACACTGGCAGTATAGTTGGTATGTTTGAAATTCTTTAGTTGCCATTTTATAAGAATAAGTGTTACAACATGAGAAAATGTTGAAAATGGAACTGTTTATAATGTTTAACATGATAGTTAGTTATTATTTAAGCTGGACATAACTTTATATAAAGAAATATTTATTTTGTACAATACACAGTATATCAAACACAAACTTCTCGCCTCGAGCACACGAGCACATACTTTTCGCATTGCTTATCAAGCCATGTTCCTATTGACGAGAGTATATGAATTGAAAATCTTAAAAATACTTTGTCGACTCGGATGTTGAACCCAAGCTATGACAGGTCAGCAGTTAGGTACGTTTATGAAAATCTACAGTCTACAACAATGAAGTCCAGTGCGACGGGTCCTAAATAATTGTGTTTGATCCCACAACGAAATAAACCGAAACATATCATTAGAGAACAAAAAGATCTACCGCTTACTCTAGAAGCCAATCTCAATGTCAATTCAATTTCAATATAAAACAATTTCAATAATTGTTCAATGTCAAAACTATACAACCCCAATCGTAGCTGTTAAAATAGAATTCAGAGTACGGAATATAAAGCTAAACTCCATTAAATTCATTTAGTTCATTCAATATCCACACAATACGAATGCAACGGGCGCCAGTGTTGCTCCACAAGCATACGAAATTTCGCAATTTCAATGTCGATCAATCGGAATTGGATTCAAGAGAAAGTCCTCTGATTACCACTTCTCTCGAAAAGCTTTACTGGAAATAGAATTACTTAAATTTTTTCTGAATACCTGGGAGCGGGGTGGGTGACCCTTGATAAATAATCCCACTTAAGAAAATTCACAATGGCAACCTGAATGATAGCCATTCAGTAAGAAGAGTGCAAACAAGAATCGTATAGAGTTATTGTATAAAAGAAGAGTATTTAAAGGGCAAACATTGTTAAGATATTTCATTTATATAAAGATCTGTTTTTCGACACTGGCAACATTATTAAAACTAAGCCATGTAGCCTATTTCTTTTTTGTTGATGATTGTCTCGTTCGTTTGGTTATGTGGTCACAAGTATCTTTTGAGCAAGAGCGCTTTGATTCGACTCCCGGATCGCAAAGTATAATTATGATTGTCAAAAATTATGCCCGGTGCATGGTAATAGGTTCACCCATAAATTTTATGAGTCCCGTATAGGGACGCGTATAAATTAGCTGGAATTATAATACCTACCTACATATCGACTCAAAAAACTGACATGCTGGTTCATCATAATCGTCACAATGTGAAATTCGTATTTATTACAAAATTGAAAATAAGTACCCTCTTTGACATTTTGAGTATTTAAATTTGACTAGCGGGAAACTGATGTTGACATGTGGTACCCGTGTAAAATATAAATAAATTGTCAAGTACAAATTCACACTTCAGTGGTTTGATAAATGTGACATCTCAGTTGGTCAATATTTTTTATCCATCTTGTACATTTATTATAAATATTAGACACGTATTTTTATGGAATAAAAAAATTACAACGATATATTACGATTACGCTTTAACTCGTTGAGTACCGTATTTATAGACACAATTAAAGAACAATAGGTTGCGGTCACCGGTGATCGCTTGGTGTTTGACAGTTTAAAATATCGCATGACGTCACTTGTTAATAAATTAAAAAGGACGTAAAAGTTAGCACGAATGTCGTAGCCGATCCACTCTCCTAAACCTTAATTTTCTATGCTTCTAATAATTAAAAACTAGTTTTAAATATCCGACTTCAACCCCCTCTTTTTTTGTCCGAACCGACTTGTTCAGTTGACGTGTTCAGTAAAGTGTTTGTTACACTTAGGGTCGGTTCTCCTAAATGTAACAAATACTTCTAAAACACCGTCTTTATTGCTTTTGAAGTCGATTTATTAAAAGAACTATTTTAATAAAATAAAAATACGTGTCTGATACTTTTTTATTATGTAACTGTAACTTAATAATGGCCAGTCTCAATAACCCACCAGTAAGTAGGTTTCACTATTAAAAATAGAATTGGAGATTCTACACTATAATATAATTCTTTTTTTAAACTAATCTACCTAACTGACGTCCAAATATACAACCGCTAATCAATTTTACGTCGCGCTTATATAATAGTTCTGTCTCTACAAATCCTTTGGAAAATGATAGAGATGGCACGATATTTAAAATTGAATAGCCCTTCAGTATTCGAGCGTTAATAATTAATTTGGTTATTAAGACTGGCTTTGAATGTATGTTCCCTTTTCATAGTTTAGTTACGACTAAAAACCTAAGCTTATTAAGACTGAAAACCGCAGCCTAGGTGGGTAAGCCACTCGTATAAATATCAGAGGCCTTAGTACGATTTTCTTTGTGTTTAAAGTAATCGAAACGAGTAAGCGTTCGGCGCTGTTTAGCCGGCGCTAATGAACCAACCCATCAGGGTACTTAGGTACTCTTGAAACCAATCTCAATGTCAATGCAATTTCAATCGAATAAAATCTCGTTAATTATTCAATGTCAAAACTATACAACCCCTATCGTAGCTGTTAAAATAGCATTTCGAGTACGGAATATAAAACCAAAGTCAATACCATTTACTTACCATTTACTCAATACAATACGAGTGTAATGGGCGCTAGTGTTGCAACTCAAAATACAGTATTTCACAATACCAATGTCGATCGATCGGAATTGGTTTCAAGAGTAAGCCCCCACAGCACTAAACGCGGTCTTGTTTCGATTAATTTAATCGCAAAACGTGAACAAAATGATCTCGTATTAAGGCCTCTGTCTATCTGAGATAAATAACAGACTTGCCACATAGGTATAGGTTTTAAAACTTAATTAAATCAAAGTACAATGTGATCTAAACAGATTAGGTTCTGTACCTAAGTATAAATCTAGCTAAGTACTCATTTATTAAGTTTAAGCTGTGAAAATATTTTTAAATAAATATATACTTAGTTGTTCTGAATTTTTGCGTTTTATTTCTTTCACACCTACAATATTTTTATGAATAAGCATTCGATGTTCGATGTTCTTCAGGCAGGCAGTTGAAACAACTACAAGACAAAATCTCAGTAGTAGCACTGAGTCTAGAATTGTGCCCGGTATAAGGCAATAGGCTCACCCCCCGATTACGGCATAACATAAAGTGGAAACTGGGTTGAGGCGCTCTCCCGCCGCACGGAGAGACTACGCACGTGTGAGCAGAAATATGAGCTTCGCTTTGGAAGAAAATGTAAGTGGTTGTGTCCACTGCAACCCACGGAAGGGCTACGCATGAATTGACTTCATTGACACATTGCACATTGGCTAGCTCGAATAGGCGGTTACATAGCTCACCGCGGTCGGCGTGGGTCTACGTTTCCACTGGATTACAAGGATATGTGCTTCGACTGCACAGCTCACTTATCGCAGCGCAGTTTTCACTTCAGTCATACACCTTGTGGAACAGACGCATTTCACGTGCGCAGCCTCTCCATGCGCCGTGCCACGCTGTACATAGTCGTGGATCCATATTCGTGTCCTCCAGTGGAAACGTAGACCCAAGTTGTCAGACAAAGTAATAGACGCAGTTAAAATGCGCCGCGTGCCCGTGCACAGCATGCCCGCGCCTTAAGTGCCGTAATGTGCACCTCGGCCTACCCCTTCGGGATAAAAGTCGTGATGTTATGTTTATTTAGTCCGATATCATATTATTTAATCGATATCATATTTAGGTAACGTTCTATACAAAGGTATTTTTTCGCGGAGATCCTAACGGGTAACCGGGGCTCCGGCTCGACGTGCAGGAGAAGGAACGGGGTGGTTTTTAGTCAGTAAAGAGTTTGACACTCCCTCCCGCCTCACCCAGGCGGGGGAAGTCATTTGATGATTTCCCCATTAAAAAAAATACGAAGGTATTTTACTGTCGGAATTGTACACCGACCCTATGTTTTGATATTTCATTCCCCTGCAGATTTCACATGCATAAAAATACTTGATTAGTTCGTACTGGAAATGAAAGACAATTTTGTAAAAAAGAAATCAAATATAATTTTATTCATATCAATAGACACTGTGTGCTGTGTCACATAGCCGATGCATTAAATACAAGTGAAAATATTTAAAAAATAATAATACATACTGATAAAAATAGGTAGGTACATTTGAGCCTCGATTGAGAAATTAAAAGTAAAAATATACAACTACAAGACAATCAGTCTTAAAGTACAGTCAACGCCATTACACGTATCCAAGTTGCCATCGACATCTCTTCATACAATTTTCCAAAATTACTAGCTACCTAGTCCAGTACATACTTTCGAATGACGCTAACTGTATTCGACAATAAAGTGAAAAATCCGAGAGATTCCAGAAAAAAATTCACACCATCCTAACCTACGTATAAATATAAATAGGCGACTACAATATTGTCAATGCGAAGCGTATTAGTGTAAAAAATCTATGTACGTGTTACTCTGTCAAACAGAAATGCGAGTGACGCAAAATGGCGTCCCTAACTATACCTACTTTCAGTCCTATATCCAGCAGTGGACTTTAATACTATTCATTCTTTCTCCTTCCTTCAAGGCCAACCTTTTCTTCGATTCAGTTCATCATACTATCAAATATCTTCTTTAATATCTAAGCTTGTTAGTAATGTAAAGAATAACTGATAGTAATAAATTACTAGTCTAACATAATCCTTATTTCTACATACATTTATCACTACATTTTTGTTTGACAGTATATTTATACAATTTGTACTCAAAGCTACACAATTTGGCGTCATAATACTGGATATGATATAATACTAAATATATTATGTAAGTACATATACATTAGCAAATAGTAGAACTACTTGAAATTGCTTTCAACTAAATTTAATAATCGGTGGGCAAAATAAAAAAAATTGTTACATAGAAATGATAAATTAATATCATTTGTACACCATACAATCCGTTTCATCAAGATTTCTGCATTATGTTTTGAACAAAGCAAATAAATCTTTAACATACCAACTGGTAAGACGACCCTTATAAATATTTAATGTATTATTAAATACATATTATATAATAGTTATTATATTATGTTGGGAATAAGCCAATCGCGAATGTATTTAAATTATAAGAAAATACTATGAGTATAGCACCAATTGCATACAAAATATCGACAATATAAGCCTCTAGATATTGTTCATCTCAAATGCTCTTTAGTATCTCAGCTTTTTAGGCCACTGCTGGATATAGGCTCTTTGAAATGGTAAAATAAGTTAATTTCTGAAAGAACTGAAGTTAATATTGCAAGTGGTCACTGTAATATTTTGTGTGGCTACATTAATAAATTATTCACGTTTTCTAACAGCTGCCTTAGTTATTACAAAACAGTTTAAGTAGCTAATGATTTCCGTGTGCAGAGCGTCACAGACTGACACTTGTGACGCCCAATATCTAGAGGCTCAAGAAGCTAGTCTTTACATTAAGCGGTGGGATACATTTGTGCGTTGTAAGTTACATGTAGTAAGAGTTTCAATGGAAGAGCGCCCGGGGTCTCTTCTTGGCGAGGATATGCCATGAGTGGGTGACGCCTTTGCGCCGCTTTGGTGACAAACTGGAAATAAAATACATAGAGAATGATTTTTTTGAAAAATTTTTAACAAGTTTCAGCATCATGACTTGTAAATATTATACAAAATAGGTTCAAAGATTAAACTAACAAAACAGCTCAGCAGTTAAGTCGAGAGTCTAAATACAGGATCCCTATCCCATAATAAAATTTCTACTACTTGAAGACAAATAAGTTCCAGAATAGTAATATTTTTAAACTGTTAAACACCACGAGGACACAGGTGACCGCAACCTATTGTTCTTTACTTGTATCTATAATGATGCTACTCAAAGGGTTAAAGGCAAATCTTTGGCAGTCTACTAAAAATACTTTACAGTATACATTTAAAATAAATAATAACAATTGGTTTCTAACTTACCCATGATCCGGTGTATCAGGCATGTAAGGTGACATCCTGAAGTCCCGGTTGTGCGGTGTCTCGATGCCAAAAGGACTGTACAGCTTTGTAGGACTCCTCCCCAGTATCTGGGAAAGACCGGACTACACATTAAATTAGAGGTAGAAGCACTAAGAGATGAAGAGGCAATATAAATAATATAATGTTATTATATGGAACCATGTTAACTTATAATCAAGGATGTGCCAAAGGGCACTATAGAGTATGAAAATTTTTTATTGTTTGAAATTTATTAAGTAGATAGTAGACAGTAGAATAAACGATATAGGACAAGCACAAAGTTGTTAATAGAAAACTTTCTAATATGTATAACAACCTTATTAAAATTACTACTTCAGAATAGAAGGCAATTATCATTAATTCCAAATAGGTATGTGTCTGAGTAATTAAAGTCTATGGTGGCTCAGAGGTTTAAGAGGCCTGCTTCTTATGGATGAGGGTGTGAGTTTAAAACCACAAACAACAGAAAGTACCAATGTGACTCTTTCTGAGTTATACATACTTTCTAAGACACCACTGACAAACAGTGAAGGTAGACATTGTGATGAAATTTGATTGTATTTTTTCTAATTATTATTGTAAGTTTGAAATCGCCAACCCGCATTGAGCAAGCATGGTGATTAATGCTCAAACCTTCTGTGTGAGATTAGGCCTTTGCTGAGCAGTGGGCACTTGGCTGTTGATGTCAAGTTCAACAAATAGACTCTCACTCACACCACATGTATACCAGATTTCTTATTAAAATGAAAAACCATGACAAATAAAGTGGTTATACCACAGATTATCTTTATAAACTTTTATTCACCTGTTTTTTCTTCATGACTGGTGTTGTTGGTGTCCTGCATGGAGACGGAGGCTCAGTAAGGCGGTGACGGCGCCTGCCTCCCAATCTGAAATGCTGATAGAATATTTCTCATTAATTATAGTATTAAATATTGTGGACAGCACCAAGTCAGATATGTTTGTGTGGTATTTTTATGGGTTACCTACCTAATTACCTATATTTAATTCTTGATAAAGATTAGAAGGCCATGAAATCTCTGGTGTATGTGATAACAGTTTCACTAAATAAATAGTTGCCTAATGAGCAGTTATCCTTTGATTATTTCGCAATCACATTTCTACAGTTATGAAATAAATAACCGTCTATAATATTATAGAAAGACTGACAAATAGTAACTAATTAATTATTTACCATTGAAGTTCGTACTTCGTAGTCTAGTCACATTATAATTTATAAAATCGATTTTACGTTGCCATGGAATCTACGGCCATACCTTGCGTACTTACGAATTATTTTTCTACGAAAAGGTGTATTTCTCAGCAACTGTATGTAGTTTAGCAGAATAAATGGTTATTTTAGACCATTATTAGTGAGGTTTAAGTACAAAAATTACATTTGAATCAATTTTTTGGAATGAAATAACATAATATGAAAAAATACCTGTGACAGATTCCCGAAGGTGTTTCTTACGCTTCGAAAAGTTCTTGATATTTTATCCGCACCTGACTGCAATGCACGCCGGGAGTTCGCGAACGAACTAGTCTTAAATATATTCTTGTTGTAGCAACCTTCCACATTTCTCAGGCTCTCCCTGGCCGGCGAATCGATAACCGAATCCTTAACAAAAGGATCCTTCATATTGAAAAATTTGTACTTCGCACTATTAATATAAATACACTAAAAGATAGCTATTACTAATATCTAGCTGCGAAACTAACGGCAGCTCACACTTCGATACACATTTTCGTTTTTAACGTTTGTAAAAATCAATCACGCTCTAACGACAAAGACCGTTGCTTTGTTGATTTTTTAAAACGGAAACTTGTGATTTCTTCATAAGCTAACTTGAACATCGGTCTTTTGAGACCGCGTTCCAGTACGGTTTCTGATATTGTAGGTTCTTTAGCATTATGGTTAGTAATATTGTAAGGATATTTGGGTAGTACGGGGTCGTCTAATTCTATTTAAATAACTTTATAAATGATAAGTATGTGTTTTTCATGGCCTGATAATGTGCTCATAATTTCTACGTATTTTGACTCGGTTAGAATATTTATTACATAATTTTGTTTTAAAGATGATGCAATCATAACCACTCTGACGTCCGTGGATAGTACGGTATCCAAGAAAAAAGTAGCGTCATACGCCCATGGATACTATAGTATCCAAAGCGACGAGTTGTGTTTAACGCCCTCTAGTTTAAAATACGGTCTTGCTTGGTGAGTTTTGACAGATTATCTATACAGATGAATAAATAGTTCGACGAAAAAAATAGAGATGGCAGTGTAATAAGCTTTGACAAACAAAACGCGCGTGTTGTGAAGTGTTTTTGTGAATGCCAACAATTATGTCGTAAGTACTACAGTTTTGTTTTATTTATCTTGCAAGTGTTATACATCAAAATAAACTAGAAGATTTGTGCTTTACGATGATGTATCAATATCACAGTTTTAGCTGATAAATCTAGTCTACTTTTAACTTCAAACAATTGTTGTTTCGAAAAAAATGGCCGGTCGTATGGTGTCGGCCACTTTTAGTTTTGTTTATACATATTTTACATACTTTGCATTACAATAGTATATAAAATATCGAAATACATTTCGTAATAAGCAAAATAATACATTTTTCAAAGAGAAATATACTAAATTCACTGAAGATTCCATAATAATGTCAATGTGTTCCTCAGGTTTTTTGATGTGGACTGTTTGGTATCCACGGACGTTACATGAAACGTGATAAATAAGGTTCGCTATACACGGCAAAATATGTTTGCATTATTTTTGTTTTGCTAGTGGTGGTATAATATTTTGCTTGAGATGATACTAATATTTAATATAAAATGCACTTTTGGGTTTTGTACTAATATTCATCATTTATTTTTCGCTTGGTTTCCGTTGGATATGTATAATGTTCTAATGTTTTTTTTTTTGTTTTGAAACATTAATTACATGTTTGTTCGTGTTGATTAACTCGTCGAGTACCGGTTTTATAGACACAATTAAAGAACAATAGGTCGCGGTCACCGGTGACCGCTTGATGTTTGACAGTTTAATTTCCGCTAAATGTAAAAAAATGCACTTGTGGATTTGACTACCTTTCTTTTTTACTGTTGCCCTTGCACGTGTTGCATGGTCGCATATATTTTAATGCTTCGCCAAATTTTATTTTATTCTTTTAACAATACTAATGTTTTAAATTATTCACAGCGACGTCAATCTCTGCATTGAAAATTGTTTTATGGCTTACCATATATAAATGTGTGGAAGGAATAAATTATTATATTATATATTGATTTTTTTATTTGCTTTTTATTTAAATAACCAACTAGAACAAATAAACAACTTCAAAAATACAATTATTACATAAAACTAATTCATAAAATTATTTAAAATATTTTATTAAAATTACATCGTGTGTGGGAAACCTTAGACGGGCGGCCATATTGCTATTATTTCGCCTTCTCGGACGAGTCAAGGGCGCTCGGGACATCGCGGTAAAATTACGAGGAGTAGTGTTTTGTTTTGATTGAATTAAAATACTTAGAGTTAACCGAATGTAATCGTATATACATCAGAAGAAAGGGTAATAAGTCTAGTTTGTTGTAAAAATATTTTATTGATAAAATATGCAATAGTTGTGCCTTATATTCTAAAAAGGTAGAAATAATTGTGTATTTTTTTTCTGAATTACATGTTTACCGGTTTTTTGTATCAAAGATTATAACTTACGATTTAAAAAAATCATTAAGATTGATCAGTATTCTTCAATCTTTTTTTTGGTATTTTTTTCTTTATTCTAGCCATTACGGTTCAGTAGCTATATAGGTTTTTTGTTACGACGAACTTGCGAGTCGCGCGCGGTTCGGACGCCGCGCGCAGCTGGACGTTAGAGAGATAAACGGTCGCGCGGCCCGGACGTTAGAGTGGATAAATAAAGTTATTTGAAGTTTCTCAGTAGACTCAGTAGGTACAAATACAGTGCTTATTTATTTGTATTATAACATAAGTTTTATTTCATGAGACTTGCATGATACTTACCTAGGTTGTGGCATTTTTTTGATAAATAAAATTAGGACAAGAAAAAACGAATTTAAATTCTAAGTAGGTAGTTTATTGCTAAGAAACACTAAATAATAATTATATTAATTTATTAAATAAATTACTAATTATCCACGTTGGTGCATGTAATAATCAATGACCGTTGAAAATGCTGCAAAGCCTGCTGCTCCGAACAGACCTGCTCTGAGGCCACCTGAAATAAAAAAACAAAAATATTTCTGTAAATAGGCTACCAAAGAGCATTTTGATAGATCATTATCTTAAAATTAGGCCTAGTATCTCTAATATGACTGCTTTGAGGAGTAGCGCCTAAACAAACTAAACTCAAGGAGGTTTTAATACCCATGCATATAAGGGAATGTTACATTTAAAATTATGGAGTAGTACACACTTCAAATTTTAAACATGTAATATTTTGTAAATATGTTATTTGAATATTTTTACCTCTTAACCCAATAAGGCCACCTGTAACACCACCAGCATAGGTTCCATTCTTCCAATCAGTTTTTCCTCTGGCAGATTCTATGCAGCATTCAATTCCGGAAAACACGGCTCCAAGAATTGCAAAGTTCTTTGCGTAGCTTAACATAGATGTTCTCATTTCCCGCAATATTTCTCTGGCAGACTGTGTTTGCATTGCATTCGGATCAGTTACTGATACATTTGGCATTAACGAGGATGTGAATAGACCTACAGCTGCACCAAGACCATACCCTGAAAATAAAAAAAAAATGATGAAGAATGAAATACTAATTTTAAGCAACAGTTTAATAAATATTGTTGGCTGGTATTATATTTATTTTTGTAATAGGGTTTGTAAAAACCTCAGTATAGTAGCATGGAGTATGGAAATGTGCCTGGTATATGGCAATAAGCTCAGCCCCTACTACATAGGACTCATAACATAAATAGTGAAAAGTGGGTGTTAAATTGTAGTGGCATTAAGTGCCGTAATGTGCACGTCTGCCTACCCCTTCAGGGATAAAATGTGTGATGTTATATTTTGTAATAGGTACATATATTTTTATTGACACTTCTATAAGCTTGTTACAATTAAAATAATAAAACCACAAAAACTCAAACTTGTGCTTTTAACCCGTTGTGTGTCTAAATGTGGATCAATGCGAGACACAATGTATTTTCTATTGTCTCATATCGGTGCATTCAAGCGATTAACCCCTGGTATGCCGGAACGTAGATATACGCGAGACACAATGTGTTTTCTATTGTGTCTCATATGCCGGCAGATAAGAGGTTAAGTCATCAATCTTATAGTAACTCATAATTAATAAAAATAAGGTTGGTTTTATAGATTAGTGTAAATATTCCAACTAGTAATAAATAGGTAGTCAATAATTACAACTTATAAAACAACATAACAGTAATGTCTGGTTTCAGCTAATTCTTAGTCTCGTTCCATGATAAATAAATGAAATAATTCTTATCAAAACATTGGTAAAGTTTCATGAAATGTAACCTCATATTTCTATTACCAGAATATGCAATACTTAATGAAACGAAAGAGGTATGTAAGAATCGTAGTAATTGGCGTTCCTTAGTCTCTGCCTACCCCCATGGGAGACAGGCGTGAAGTTATGTATGTATGTATGTATGAGTTCACTTACCAATGATACAACTTGTCAATGATTTGAAAGGGCAGCTCTCAATAGTGGACTCAATCATCTTCTCCTCATTACTTTTGATGATAACCGGCCCGAGGATCCGAGGTATTATGATATTCTCCCGAAATCTCTGGTTGTTACCCACCAGATACTTGGCAAGCGAGTCATAGTCATTGTCTTCCACAAATTTCGACAAGTTTGGGTCAGTTGGTGGCCGAAATACAAACGACATTGTGTCTGAACACTGATAACACTGCAATCCTTATAGATTTTGTCTCTTAGAGCATTTACCACAGTAAAATGCTTTACAGCATGTATAGGTACATTAATGTAATGTTTCTTATAAAATTGTTCTTTCGAAGATCGATATTGAATTTTTCTAACCTTCAAAGTATTCAGCTGATCTTGATTTGAGCTTATATGAAGTTTAATTATTAAACTAAATTACATTATTTCGTTCAGGTTATTGCGAGGTTGACATTTGATTTAAGACATTTCAACATTTGACTTATTAATTGTCCAATATAATTTGATATTATATCTCAAGTCAATTTACAGCAATTTTAGTTTAGTTTTCCGTTTTTCCACAGGCCAAGATACACTGGTAAGTTAATACACACCCGGACAAGAGAATGACAACAGCTGTCAATTTGACAGTCACAGTTCCGTTTACGAGATTACTTTACGTGAAAATATCGTATTGTGGTTGCACAGATTTTATGATGTTTACATTTTTTGTTATATTTATATAAGTACATTTATTAGTATTTTTGAAACACAAATAGCATTTCATGATTGCTTAAGAATGATTACTCACGTTTAACGCACAGTTCGTAAATTTTTATTTCCTTTTTTATTGTTAACTAGCTTTGTGAACGGAAATAAACAAACGATAGTCTAGTAGACGTGCGTGATTATTATGCCGATTGTTTAATTAATACTATTTTATTTGTATAAAATAATTAATTAACATAATGTCTGATTCTTCTGAAGATGAAGATCTTTCACGTTTTAGAGAAGTAGTGGACACATCGTTTACTAAGTTAATTAACGAATCACGCGGACTTGCTACAAAAGACGTTCATGATAATAGTAAGTACTCATTAAACATAATAAGTAACGTTATATAATCTATCACATTCCTGCATTTCTAATTAATATTTTGCCACATTTCGAAATCCTTTCTTGATACGGTTGAATAAAATTATTGTAAAGATTGTTTATAACAACAATAACAATATAACCTCAATAACTAATAATTTATAACAATATAACCTCACTTTTGTACAGGGCTGTATTAAAAATGTTTTTTTTACTCGACTAATTTAAGAAAGAAAATTATTTATTACTCTTTGTTTATGATGTCACACCAACATATTATTTTATTTGTTATGAGTTTATTATAAATAAAGATTTTGTTTCAGACAAAGAAAAACCGAAATCTGAAAGATATTTGGAAGTAGCATCCCATTACAATGATGTTAAAGTTCCTGAAGAAATGCAGAAGCGAATTGGTGCTAAAGTATCTGCTATTATACAGAAGAAAATACAATTTGTAGATATTCAGAATGAAACGAAGTAAGCATTAAAAATTTCCAGGAGTATCTTAACCAACCTCCACAAGGATATTACTAATATTAATGCAATAGTAATGTGGAAATAAATTAGACTTTATGGAGCATCATCATACAATATGGGCATTGTTCTACACAATATAGTCATCTAAAGCTCTGAGAAGACAGCTTGTTGTTGGCAATTCTTTCATAAACTCTGTTTAACAAAACCAACTTCAAACCCCTTTATTTTTTTGAACCCCATCAAAAGCAGTTTACCCAATAGCGAGATACTCGCGCACAAACATACATACTAACATACAAGTCAAATTGTGAACATACTTTTTTGAAGTCAGGTTTTTCAGTAAATTAATTGAATATTTGTTTTCTTTACAGAAAAAGGAAGATTAAAGGTGGTATAAAACTGTTTAGCAGTTCTGAAGGATTTTTATCATGTGAAGAGGTAAAGGATACCTACACTGACACTCATAACGCTGAATCAAAAAAACTCAAGAATAAAAGAAGACAAATTGATCCTGAAGAGGATGTTAATGAAAATGGTTTGTTTTATTTTTTATACACTTAACTATTTACTATAGTTTACGTTTCCCGAGCGTACGCGTCCGCGGAGAACTTGACGGGTTACCAGGGCTCTGGCTCGAAGTGCAGGAGTAGGAACGGGTGGTTTTTAGTCAGTAAGAGTCTAACACTCCCTCCCGCCTCACCCAGGCGGGAGCAGTCATTCGATGAATTGCCCCTCTTAAGAAAAATACTTTACGCTTTCTTACTCTAGAGTCTCTATTGATCCTGAAGAGGATGTTAATGAAAATGGTTTGTTTTATTTTTTATACACTTAACTATTTACTATAGTTTACGTTTCCCGAGCGTACGCGTCCGCGGAGTTTTTTACTCTAGACATGCATGCATGCATATTTTAATATCCACAAAAAATGAAGCTACATACATACATTGAATATTTTCAAAAAAATTAATGATCAAGAACTATCTACTTAATACTGTACCTGACTCTGAGCCCAAAGTAGCATTATTTGCCCTTGAACTAAATAAATATTATTCTTTTCAGATAAATTAAAAGCTGTTCTACTTGATGGAGACTACATCTTGTCTAAGGAAGAAACAAAACTATGGAAGTCAAGGAGAAAAGAGAAACTCTTTAAATATAAAGGTAACAAGAAAAGTAAGGTATTAACTGAAGTGGCATAGATTAAAGTTGAAATATTTTGTAAATGTATGTTACCTACATACTTTAATACACAAAAAAGCCTTTTATTTTTTAAAGTGTAAATACAGAAAAAAGTCTTGAGGTAGAACTACTTAAAGAGATTGTGGTCCAAAAGATAGTAGGTAGTTTATTTTATTATTATTTCCAACATAGTAAAGAATTGGAATATTTTCTCGATAAAAAAAGTTTGTTTTGACTTTTCAACACGTTAAAGTATTTTAAAATATTCACACTGTTATTAATTTAATAATAAAAAAATAATTTCTCATAAAACATTTATTTACAATAATCACATAAAACTATGAAATAAATATGTACAAAAGATCATTATCACATAACAACTGCATTTCATTTTATTTAGAACTTTTCAATTTATCGTAATTATAAGACAATTTGATTGAGAATTTGACTACAACGTAGGTTCGTACCTACCTTAGTTTTAACAGCAATTGCTTATATGTAGAAGTTAAATCGTAGATTATATTGATTTGTACATTTTTCATTTTATTGTAATAAATTTATTGTAAATAAACTCAAAATTAGGCATAAAAACAACTTTTGTGTTCAAAATAATTATAGTTTATCATAGTCTGTTTAAAAATTAACGTAATTATATGTGTAGTTCGTTGTTGACGCATTGTTTCGTAATAAAAAGTTGAGATTTGGATTACTATCAGATCTGTTAATTAAATATAATTATTATGTAAATATAATAGTTAATTTTTAAACAGCAATATTGAATAAACTTGGAATTCACGATGAAAATAAATAAAACGACCTTAACACAACTTAAAAATAACTTAAAATAAAACTTAACACTCAGACATACCTTAAAGGTACTAACGACAATGCACATTATAATGATCAGCATCAGATCTAAGCTTCTTCATAAATACAGGCTAAGTCAGTCAGAAACTTTATTTTAGCGCTGTTTTAATGAATCGGCCATAAAATATTTTGCTTACTCCTACAGGAACATGCATTGTATGAGAAATGTCATATTTAAACCTTTCTATAAACTTACAAACCTGATATCGCTTAGGCGGATCTAACAATCTACTTTTCGAAGAACATTTCGGTTACAGCATTTAGGTACGGTACGTATAGCAAAATAATTTTATTTAAAAAAATCATACCTAATATCTACATTACGATAACGATTAACTTTGGAAATAACGCATAATTCTTTATAATATTTACCAATAATTAAGTATCTGTCGTAAGCTATATACAAAGTCCTGTCATGCATTTATTTTGTACTTTATTGCACCCAAAGACGTCCTAATTACGGCCCTGGGGCCTCGTTGCTAGTTAGTATTGCTAACAGTGTACGAATATATTTCTGTCGTGGCCCCAAATTGCATTATAGAAGTCTTTTTATAATTTACAATCTCTCGTTAACTGCAGAAGGTAGGGGTCTGCCTGTATTTCTGGCAGGGAGTTCGTCTTGAGTGAAGGCTCTATTATCGAGACCACTGCGTTTATTCACTGGTTCCTCTGTAGCTGGTTTCTCTACAGGGCCGTCCATCAGGAACATTGTTAGGAAGAACATTATGCTGCCTGTAAATAAAGTAAGTACAATTAGTAAAGCGATTCAGAAATGCTTAACAGCTAGGTAGATGTTAGATATCCTAAGGTAAAGAATTTATAAAAAAAAAATTGATAATCGTTTAACGCAAACGAACTTCGGGTAATTTTAAAGACATTAATAGGAAACTTACTGATGCCATAAAATCCAGCGTAGAAGATCATGATGGCCTCTCTGTAACCTATGATCTTGGAGACAGGGTCGACTAGGATAGGCAGGTTGCCTCCCACGTTGTTCATCACGAAGAGGAACACTCCGACTGTGGTGGATCGGACTGACAATGGCACTATCTCCACAAGGATGGCGAAAACGATTCCGAACCACATCTCAGCTGAAAGAGAATAAAACGGTTATTGGTATTGTGATTAACTAGGAAATCAAGGTAAAATTACCATTTGGTATGGGTGTTTCTTTTCAGTAAACAGTGGGATAGACATTTTTTTCAATCCCACTATTAATTAACCAAACGATCAGTCAATCAACCGAACAACTATCAAAATCAATGGCAAACTAGTACTAGTACCAATCAATGCTTACCGAAGAAGTAGGAAATAGCTAGAGTGATCATGGCCCACAGAGGTCCAAACACCACAGAACCGAAGGCGGGGAGGGTGGCAATCAGCTGAGACAACGCAAGAACCAGCACTCTTGAACGAACACCCATCTTCTCCACATACCTGCAGACATAATTTGGATTAGACATACAACTTTAACTTACTTTATTACCTGGATCAGGTAACACTAAGGTAATTTAATGCTCTATTATCTTTACTGAAAAGAAAAAAACCGAATAATTCATTATTAGAATATATTTGAACCCGAATCCTCGGGCTGACCATTGGTAGGCTGATAACTTTGTTCCCACATAAAAAGCTTTTACATAACTGTCAACTTATATTCAGATTCACTCCGAATGCCACGCTATTAAAATGTTTAAAGAATTAAGTATAAAATAGTAGTTTACTTGTCCGAGATGACTCCTCCAGCGACGACACCAATGGAGCCGATACCAACAGTGACAGCGAACAGCCACCAGCCTAGATCCACATCGGGGAAGTAATCACGGTAGTACAGGTCGGCGTTGTACGCGAAGCACATACCACCTGGAACCAAAGAATTAATTATTACAAGTTAATATAGCATCATCATTAATGGCCCATGACAATCTATTGCTGGGCCCTAGGCCTCCTCTATACTAGAGGGTTTGCCATAATCGCCGCATTTGGAAGGTAGGTTGAAGATCCATTTAAAAAGTTTCAAGTTTATTAGAGATCGCTGATTCCAACAGGAACAAAAATGAGTTTGAATTGAGTATTAATCATTGATGATCTCATTCATTGTTTTATTCAGAAGGGGATTAAATGACAAGAGGGTAAGACGGCTTTAGGCAACTGTTGGACTCCCCTTGTTTATTATTTGTTCCTTTTCTCTTCTAAAGGCTAATTAACAATGTTGTGAAACAAACCTATATAAAAACATTATAATTAGCTGGTTTTGTTTATAAACTTCTGTATGCGGAACGCACGCGAAATCCTACTTTTCGATAAAATTGCATGTTTAGTACTTATAACATATTAATCCTGTGCGAAGCTGTCAACTGCGATTGAAAACAGTATTAAATATCTATCTATAGAAAAATAACCACATTACTAAAAACATAATGTAGAAACAAATGATCCTTTTGCTGTGCTTATTACTAATAGAAATAGATGTCAGGATAAAGAAAATGATACAGTTAAGTTGCCAGCTAATGCTCCGTCCAATGGCTTTATTAAATGAATTTTCTTGCTGACCTAGATAAGGTCAAAAGGATATAAATGTCTCAGTGACAGGCTTATCCGTCTACACGAGTCTGATTTGCTATGAGACAGGTCAAGGATTATGAAGAAATTGAGCTCTCATTCGAGGGTTAAAAGTGTCCGAGTAATAAGCGTATTCTAAAGTGAATAGTAAAGAAAAAATGGCTAAAAAGTACCTATAGAAAATATTATAATCATAATTATGTTTTGTAGAAGTAATTAAGTACAGTTCGTAAAGAATGGGAATATGGTTTAGTCGCTGTTTATTTTGTGTTTTAAATGATGTTATCTTATCTACTTAATTTTAGTAAATTTTCAAATACCTAATAGAAGATTAAAACAGACTTTAACCTAAGTTGAACTTAATATTCAAATTTAAATGAACAATGACATCCTATAAAATACTATAAATGACATTAAGGTGAAACAAACACGCTTGAAGATTGACAACACTAACTAACAACGACAACTTGAAACAACTACAAAGGATTGGATGTGACAGTCTCTATTATGCGAAGGAGTTCGTGAGAAGCACTCTAGTTGTGTCTCTGGGGGCCTAAGTACGGCCCTGTCATTTTCAAATATTTTAGGAAACTGTTACTTGTACGTGTTGTAGTTAGACGCCATCTTTTTTTTAAACCTTGCCCCACACTAGGATATTCTCTTGTGTCGTGGGTGCGTTTACAAACATACAAGTTCACATACTCATGACACCCAGACCCAGAACAACACACCGGATCACACTAAGAGTTGTTCCGTGCGGGAATCGAACCGTTGCTTGCTTTCAAATTTTTTTTTTTAGTTCATGAATAATATTTTTTTAAGCTGTACAATTTAATGCAAATGTTGCATTTTGATCAATACTTATTTAAGCTCACAAAAAATCTGTTGGTAGGTAATCTAAAAAACATCAAATGCTCAAGCCATGGTTGCACCTTTCGCAAGCTTTTCGCGTACAACATTCAATTTAAACAAAAGCCAGGAAAGTCGTCGAAAACTGTCGTTAATTTAAATTGTGTAGGAATTTGGATGAATAATAACGCGACGGCAGCTAATTATGGGACAAACAACAACAGTTATAATTTTCCATGGAACCTCCGGGTGGCAGAACTTCAGGCAACTTTGGTGGGTAGGTACCCACTGCGAACCTACGTACTCATTACTAGCTAGGTACTCATTACTTACATACTTAATCTAGTATTTATTTATTTATTTATTTAATGCACTAACTACTACCATTACAGATACATTCCAATACGATAGTGTAGCCATCAGTCTTACCACATCTTTTAGTAATTACTTATTATCTAATTATAATTAAAATAAAAACTTAACACTTATACATACCTATATACTAATACAATAAAGTTTCCTATACAAATTTAACTGTTTAACATTTCTAACTACTGAGTAACAGAATCATAAAAACCAAATTCTTATATATAACACTTAAAATTAAATACTCACAATGAATCATAAACGATATTTTACTTAACACCTATTCAGTATCTACTTACTAACATAAACTATTATTACAGTACAAAACAAAGAAATAACTTCGAGACTTTTTTGAGAGAGTAAACAATTTTGAGTTTGGTAATTCTATTGCAACGTATTATTATATGCACTTATATTAATTAATACTCTCACTAGATCACTCGTATTGCACGAAAATATGTCAATGCGGCCATGAACCTCATTTACCGTGCAAATGGCTCGTGTGAGCGGGGTCTTGGCCAGAAGATTGGTCCTGGCCACCGGTACAGCGAGCAGTGGCGGACGACGTCGCCTCCACACGTATCGGTCGGGCACACACAGCTGCAGGTGGCGCAGCACTCCCGGGTTATGTGCCACACCCCGTAATAACTTCACCACGTAAGCAGCTAACGTAAATTCTCTGCGCACTCTCAGCTCACTATACCCCACCATGCCCAGTACAAACAATGTCGGGTACATTAAAGGGTAAAAAGGGTACACACCATACAGCTTGAAGTACAAGTGCCTTGTGAACTTGTTCTGGACTCTCTCTAACATGACACTGTACTTCGTTTCATGTGGATCCCAGATTACCGCACTATGTTCAAGGTGACTTCTGACTAAAGCATCATAAAGTACCTTTAGCGTTGATATCCTATTGAACCCCTGTGTCTGCCTCAGTACAAACCCCAAGTTCCTATACGCCTTTTTACACACCTTAATAATATGTCCCCGAAAGGTTAAGTCTGGTGTCATTATGACTCCGAGATCTCGAACCTGAGCAGCCCGCTTCATTGGTACAGACTCCACCGTGTACTCATATTGTATTGGTGCTTTTGCACGAGTAAATGTCATCATGGAGCATTTTTCCACATTAAAATGTAGTCTATTCTTCTGGCTCCAATCTACTACTCTTTGTATATCTTCTTGAAGACGTTCAGAATCTGATACATCTTTAATTTCCAGCAGCAACTTGAGGTCATCAGCAAACAACAAACAAAGTGCATGCTTGACTACCTCTGGCAAATCGTTGATCATTATAATGAATGCCAATGGCCCCAAGTTGCTACCCTGACTTACTCCAGACCTAGCGAAATATAGTTCAGACTCGGAACCCCTGTAGTCAACATACTGCTGCCTGTTCTTCATGTAACTGGCGAAGAAGTTTAACAGGTGTGGCGTAAACCCAATCTCCGCCAATTTACTGAGCAGTATGTCGTTATCAACCGTGTCGAATGCCTTTTTAAAATCGAAATAGGCGGCATCTACCTGCACCCCGGCGTCCACTGCCGGCACCACGCGCGCCATGAAGTTAAGTAGATTAGTGGCAGTACTGCGCCCCGGCCGAAACCCGTGCTGCGCTTCCGCTAACCGCGCCTGCACCTGTCTTTGCACACTGGCTTGAATAGCAGACTCGAACACCTTTGCCGGGGTCGACAGCACCGCCACTGGTCTATAACCCTGGACATCCTGGCTTGGTTTGCCTTTAGGAACCGGAATGACCCGCGTAATTTTCCACCGAGCCGGAAACGTACCTTGTTTCAAGCACATATTAAATATATAATGTAGAGGATCCGCCAGCACCCTACCGCAGTCTCTAAACAGAAACGCAGGCACCCCGTCTGGGCCCGCTGACCGCTTTGGTTTGAGGTTAGTGATCGCGTTCTTAACATCTTGGAGATTAAGAACCCCGATATGTACACGTGCGCTGTTGGGCCGCGCCTCCCCCGCCGCTACCCGCACATCCAGCTGAGGTGGTTCCTTGTTGTAGACTGATTCAAAGAATCTAGCAAATTGTCTAGAACATTCATGATTTGTGAGGTACTGACCATCCTTCACTATACTTTGCCTATTTACTCTACTTCTCTTAGATTGAATATACTGCCAGAATGATTTTGGATCTTTTGCAAATTGATTTTGTATTTTATTTTTATGTTCATTATGTGCATGTTTTATAGCTTTTTTAATTCGGGCTCTGTACAATGAAAACTCGTAGTAATCACTATCGAGCTTCGTTTTCTTAAATTTTTTATGAAGTTTGGCTTTAATTTGTATGTCCTTAATAATTTCTGATGTATACCACTCAGGATATATGTATCGAGAATTTTTATTAAAATTGCTACAAAGATTCTTACGCGGTACACATTTATCTAATATATTATAAAGTTTATGATAAAACATATTCAACACCTCCTCCAAATCATGTTGTTCATAAATTTCCCCCCAATCAGTCGTAGTTAGTGTAGAATAAAGCAATTGATAATCAGCCTTATAAAAATTCCACCGTGGTCTAATACTACTCGCGCCGCTACAACTGTCCGCGATGGGGGTGAGCGGGGCGCGTGCGGGCGCGGGGAGCGCGGGGCCGAGGCGCACACACACCGCGAGCGGTGGGTGATATGCGTCGATAGGTACAAGAGGCTCATCCGCCACCGCGACTGTCACGGCTTCACTAAAACCTGCACTTAGAACCAAATCTAACTGCCGCCCTTGACAATTGGGTACAGTATTATTTTGAATGAAGTCGCAGTAAGACATAAAACATTCGTAATAATTACTAATATTAACAGTACATGAATACAAATTAAAATCACCAATTACAATTACTTGTTGGTACTTATCACATAATTTTTCTATTAATCTAAATAAAGTCATATAGTCATTCTCACAACTACCCGGAGGGATATAAATCACGGAACACAAAAACAAAAATCGGTTATTTAAATGAACCGTTGCACAAACCATTTCAAACACACACGCGTCTATCGATACGTCAGTCACATGTACTTGTCGCAGCTCGAGCCGGTGTGTGGCCACGAGAAGCGCGCCGCCTTGCTTTCGCCCGTCCGCTCGATCGCACCGAAGTATTTGATATCCCGGTGGAATAATTTCTGAATCACTTATGGACTCACTACAACCGGATTCAGTGATTGCATATAAGTCGGAATTTAATGACTCAATATTAACTCTGAATTCATCCAGCTTAGTGCGAAGCCCCCTCACGTTCTGATAAAAAATGTCAATATTATTCATTTGTGATATTTTTTGATGACTTTCGAAACCAAATCCACTCATTAAACTGCGCATTAGTAGGCCATAGATCCGATGAGTTCAATTTATTAAAGTAGCATTCAGGAACTCCAATCACAAATGATGAGTAATCTCGCTCGGTCTTATGTTTGATTTTGTCTACTTTGATGTGAATTTCAGACCCACAAACATTTTTCACATGGTCCGTTATCGCTTCAATCGTCGTATCTGTATGCAACCGCCAAACATGCAAGTATTTTTTCCTCTCAGTTGCCTGGATTCCCTTTAACTCTGCATTTGTGCCTACCCCCACATCTCTATGTTGTCGGTTCAATTTCCGGGTCCGAACTACCGTCGTCCAGCCAGAATCCTTATCATTCTGCTCACCTGACGGCCCAGTAGATTCCTTTTCGTTGCTAACACTTGTAATATCAACCGCTTTCACGGTAGACTTTGTGGCCCCACGTTTGTTTACCTTCAACGTTTTGGCGTAGGTATTAGACATTTTTGCAGAATTATTGGAATTGTTTTGTTGACTTACAACTGTCGCAAAAGTGGTACTGGGTGGCAATGTATCCTGTATCTCAATAACTGGTGGTTTATCCTGGGTTAACCTAGCGTCAACCTTTTCTTCGAGCACCCTCATTACTTTGATAACATTATCCAACTCATGTTTATTAATAGGGTAATTTTTATTAATAGGGTAGATGCCTTATTTTTATTTGAATGTCCGTCTGGTAGATTATTTTAAATCATTAGACACGTATTTTTTATTTTCTTACAGCGAGACGAATACTTTCGACGATTATTGATTTGAAATGTCGCGTGACGTCACTTCTATGTATATTTTATACGTAGAAATGACGTTTTAGCCCCAACTTTGATTTGTTTAATCTAAGTATTGTTTTATTATATGATAAAATAAAAAAATACTTGTCTAATATTTTTTAAATACCTAACTTACGGACTAATTAGAATTTTAATTTTCATACCCCATGAACCCTATTGGGCCGCCGGTAACCTCACTCACACGACGAAACACAACGCACACGTCGGTTTTCAGTGAGGCCGTGGTATCACTCCGGTCGAGCCGGCCCATTCGTGGCTCTCCCACAATTAAATATTTGGATTACGAAAAAAAAAGGTTTTGGTGCATCCTCTGTTCTTTTTTTGGAGACAACATACATACCTAGTTGTTTGGCATGATATTATAATCTAATATCATGTCACAGCATTCAATTCTCGGAAGAAATAACAATGATATAAATCTGGTAGGTACCTACAGACAGGGTACTTGCAAAAGCACTTTTAGTATCACTAAATCGACCTTGGATTTCGCGACATGACAACTCAAGTTATACCGTGACTGGCAGGATACAAACAACAAACTTCTATTTGCATTTAAAAACTATGTCTTAGAAAATAAACTTCCCATTTTAATCCTTAACCCGAGGAAATAAAGTCTTAGAATAAAAACTAAGGACTTCATAATTGATATTCATAATGTTGTTGAGGCTATTGTCGTGAATAATGTCTTATGTACTCACAATGGGTAGGTGTTACCGGTAATATCATAGAAATAAAATATTCATAATTATATAACGGATCGTATATAATTAATTGATAAATCAATTCAATTACATCACTTTATGGATAATAACTTATTTTAGTATCTACAATAAGTAGTTAATATATATATATTTTTAAAACGTTGCCCCACACTAGTATTTTGTCCTGGTTGCGTTTACAAAGATACAAGTTCACATACATAATGACACTCGGACCCAAAACAACAATCTGTGGACCACACAAAGAGTTATTCCGTGCAGGAATCGTACCCGCAACACGTTCCACGGCAGCCAATTGCCAAACCACTGCGCCAATCGTGCAGTCGGTGCCAACGGTGCAGTGCAGAATTGCATCACATCAATAGATACCTAATGTATGGACTACTAAGAAGCAATAGAACTCACCACAATGTCTGATAGAGGCAGCCAGGCATAGCAGAATAATTCTGGGCTGCGCAATCACGTGCCAGATGGTCACCTGAGGGATCTTCTTGCCTGACTCCACAGTCGTATCATTTGTCTTTGTGGTACCTAAAACATGAGTAGATGATACATTTCATTATGGGTCTTCATTTATGGTACCAGAGTACCAGGTTGCCATGAAAAAGAGTAGGTTGCCAATGCAGATTTGTTTCTAAAAGACAAGCTTTGTCACACATTCATACATGAGTTTCGGGCACACGGTGAGAGCCGTAAGAACGCGTATATGAGTTTCCGGCACACGAAAAGGGCAAACATTGAACGCAATAGTGCGTGCGGGGCACTGTAGTATGTCTTATAATTCGGGCACTGGAGAAAATCCACTGGGCAGTGAATACGTTAATGAACTTTATGTACCTACAAAGAAATGCTATTTTTAAATATGATAGGGACGTTATTGGTATAGTTGTATACTTTTTTAGTGGTAATAATTAGTTACCTTCTTCTCCAATAGTAGTTCTGGAAGGCTCCCGAAGAGTGAGGAAGGTGAGCACCGTGATGACAAGACCGACGATACCGGCTCCGAAGTAACACACACGCCAGCTCTGTGGACAAATTTGATTATAACTTTAGAGTATGTAATTCTGATAAATAGATAATTTCTAATCTCATTTTCATGGTCTAATTCTTAGACTCTAAGAGATTCTTTTTTATGGCATAAGTCGGTAAACGAGCAGACGGATCACCTGATGATAAGCAATCGGCGTCGCCCATTGACACCTGGAACACCAGAGGCGTTACAAGTGCGTTACCGGCCTTTTGGGGATTAGGAGTTTGAGGATCGTTGGGGATTCAGGGATTGGGGAGATTGGGGAAGGGGAAGGTAATTGGGCCTCTGGTAACCTCACTCACACGAAGAAACACAACACAAGCGTTGCTTCACGTCGGTTTTCATTTTGTGAATAATTATTTTGTGAATAAAGGCAAACATTTCCAGCTATCGAAGCTAGCTTCCCAAAATTTATCGTACACGTTGCAACCATTAATTGGTTTAAACGACAAAAATCCTACCGGACAGAAAAACCTACTTCTGCACATTAGAACGAGTAGATATTAAAGAACTTACCAGTCCCCAAGCATTCACATCAGGAATGTAACGTCCAACAGGGAAGGCGATACCATATCCTCCATAGATGCCCCAGTTGAAGATGGACAACGCCAGAGCCCTCTGTTTCTCAGGGAACAAATCAGTCAGAATGCCCGTAGCTAGAGGATTGCACCCGGATTCTCCTGCCGCCATTATCATACGTAAGACGACTAGATGCCAGTACTCCTTGACAGTGCCCATCAGAAGGATCGCGATCACAAAGACTAGGGTACAGAAGGAAAGGATTCGTGCTCTGTTGAATCTGTGAAAAAAATGTTCACCGTGATTTGCTATTCAGTATTTTTCTTCTATGTTTCCAAAGAGGAAGATTTGCAATCAATTTTATTCAAAATGTTCAAGGTAAGTCAGTTGAAGACCCTAAAATGACTCTGAACTATAGATTTTGTGTCACTAATTCTTATTAAGTGATCATTAATAATGTCACAAGAGCTACAGGTTCGTTTTCAACCTTATAAATCTTTTAAAACTTACGTTAAAGAAAACTGACTTCAGCCCCATCCATTTTAAATCGGTTAATTAATATACTAAAACCTTCTCCTGAGTATAACAAATACTTTTCTGAAGACCGCATCAAAAATGTTTCAGCCAATCGCGAGATAATTGCGCACATACATATATATGTTAAACTGAGAACATTCGATTTTTTTTTTGAAATCGGTAAAACAGGAGTGAGTACGTTCTTTTCTGGAAGGTTCGAAGGGTTCTTGTTTTAAGTTTCCAATAGCATCCTTGGTATTTTTTACTTAGGAAGATATTGTTTACTTAGCTAAACATTATCACTTTTTATATGATGTAACGATTAATGTTATATATAAGTGTTACTGTACAAATTATGGTTAATAAACATTTATTATTATTATTATCTTCCTTAAGACTTTGACTGCCAATAAAAAACTGTTGAAGGCAAATTCTCCGCTAACGCCGGTCACCGGTGACCCCCATGGCGTTTAACGTGTTAATAGATTTTGTCCTTTCATTTCCATATCAGTACTTACTTATCAGCGACCACGCCAAGTATAACTCCAACGACAGTGAACACTGCCATGAAGGCGGGGCCAGCCAGCACCTGGTAGTCGATACCTAGTCCATTGTACCCCCACTCGCAGTATCGCGTCCCGTTTAGAGTTAGAGTCTCGCATCTGGAACAAAAATAATAGATGTTATAGATTCGACGGTACATGTTTTTTTTTTCTTTCTTCTTTGGCAACCGAGTCTCCAATACGATGTTGTCGACTATACTGCCAGTGTGTGGTGACGGCATATTAATGAGCCGCAAAGTTATAAAACTTTGCGGTAGTTTTTAGTAGTTAGTAGCTGAAAGGACAAAACAATAATAATTGGGTTAGTAAACATATAAATATTACCAACTATTTTACTGTATGTGTACATTGTAGCTTCTTTTGACAGAACTGTAATAGGGAAAAAGAAGTTTAGGAAGGTACTTTTTAGTGGGAGCTAAGGAAGAAAAATGAAGGTATAGTTTTGGGGTATTGGTATAGTTTTTAATATTTCAAACATAAGGCCTTAGCCTAGGCCCCCATCCTTACTAATATTATAAATCGGAAAGTGAGTTTGTTTGTTTGTTCCACTTTCGCGCCGTAACTACTAAACCGATTACTTTGAATTTTTGCAGACGTGAAGTTAGAAGTCTGGATTAAATAATAGGGTACTTTTTATCCCGGAAAAATTGATATTCTCGAGGGAAAACGAAATTATTGGTATAGTTGGCGCTGTGTGTATTGGTATATGTCACATAGGCTACTTTTTATCCTTTTGCGACGCGAGGGAAGCCGCGCGTAAAAGCTAGTTTTAAATAAATTGTACCTAATAAGTATTTTGATAAGGAAAACGGATCGACCTACACAAATCCAAAAAGTGTAAAACAGAAACGCTGAGGAGAATCAATCAAGAAATATAAGATTATGTTGTGTGTGCAGAAAAAGGAATCAATCGTCTAAGGGAGCTGAATCAGGAGCAATATCTTCGACAGCCACATTAATCATTTTACTTTATCCTCTATTGATCGACAGGACATAATGACTTTTCGCAGTTTCTTTTCTACTGTCCTTTGGTAAGGTAGTTAACCTTTCCTCTTTTCGGTGTCAAATAACTTTCCTTTTTCCGAAATTATTTGATTCATAGTTTTCTTTTATATTCATATATTTTTAAGGGGGGAAAATCATCGAATGACTGCTCCCGCCTAGGTGAGGTGCAACGAAATTAATAATACTGAATAAGATAACATCGAACCTTTTTATCCCCAAAATGGTTTGCTCAGATGAATATTATGCAATGCACGTACCTTACCTACATACCCTTTTCTATAATATGCTTTGTCTACCAAAGAGGTAGGTACTGTAAATATTTTTCTAGAACAAGGAGTGTGATTCTAAACCTTCTTAGGGCCGATTTTTCCTACACCAGATAAATTTTAATTGAGCAATAATTTTGAATAACTATTTAACAATTTTTTTTGACTGCCTCGTTGGCCGAGTGGTCGCAAGTGCGACTAGCGGGCAAGGGGTCTCGGGTTCGATTCCCGGGTCGGGCAAAGTATTACTGGGTTTTTAAAAAAAATGTCAGTAGTAGCACGGAGTCTGGAATTGTGCCCGGTATATGGCAATAAGCTCACCCCCTATTACATGGGACTCATAACATAAATAGTGAAAAGTGAGTGTTACCTCTGTGTGCACCTCTGCCTACCCCTTCAGAGATATAAGGCGTGATGTTATGTTATGTACGTATTTGACAATTCTTCCATATTAAAACGATTAAATGTCAATTTTATTCTACAGTTAAAGGTAGTGACTTGAGAAATCAGCTCTTACTTAACTCATACCCGCCTTTAATTACATTTATTTACGTAATACTATAATTTAGAGACGACACTTCTTATGTGTAAGTATTTGATTTCAATAAAGCCGTGTAGGCCTGTCCTTTAGCTTTTGTTGGCTAAATCCCACAAAATTACTTAATAACGGTTATAAATAGACATCCATTATCAGTAATAAATGAAGCTTTAATAAAAACGGAGTACCAGAGAGACTCGGACTACGGTTGACGAGAATGACAAGATTACAAGTAATCTATTTTTAGAATCCAATTATATCCGTTTAATGATTAAGGATTCGTCACCAGATGTCTTCGTATTGAAAGATAATTATTTCCTTCATTATTCAATTTCTAATGAAGCAAGATATTTGATGACAATATTAGTGAAAAGAGGGATGAACCAGTACCTACACCTTTGTCTTAGTTTACAGGGAATAAAAGACGCAGTGTAATGATATTTTGTTATACCTATAGTACAATTCCATTCAGAGATTTATTCAGGACCAAGCGTGGTTGAGCCATGCTTCGGTATGAATGGGCCGGCTCGACCGGAGTGATACCACGGCCTCACAGAAAACCGACGTGAAACAACACTTACATTGTGTTTCATCGTGTGAGTAAGCTTACCGGACGTCCAATTACCCCCTCCCCAACAATTCTCAAATTACTAATCCCCAAAAAGTCGATTACGCATTTGTGACATCCGAAACACCTCTGGTGTTTCCCATCCATGGGCGACGCCAATTGCTTACCATCAGGTGATCCGTCTGCCCGTTTACCGGTTTAGTCCATAAAAATAAATTAATATCAAAAAGAGCTGAAGTCATTCCTGTGGTGGGCTATGTGTCAGGCGCCTCGTCTTATACTTTAACGAGTTTGTCATAATTTCCATGTTTGGTAGGATTGGACATTACTGCTACAGAATAGAATTCTTTGCCAGAGTCTATGTTTCCTGAAGGGTACTTCAACAGCCTGGGTGTCTTCAAGGCCCGAGTGAACAGGTTACTTATGGACAGACGTGCTCCATCGTAGGCCGCATCATCGCTTACCACCAGGCGAGATAATGGCCAAACGTCGACCCATCAAATATAAAAAAAATATTACAATTGTTTTTAGGTTATAATTTTGACGTAAGTACCTAATTCGTTTATAGGTTATGCCGCCTAAAAGTTTGGTAAATGGAAATTACTTGAAATAATTTTCTAGTCAACCCAACTTATGAAAGTCAACAGAAAAAACAAATTAGAGTTTTAATGACTTGAGAATTGAGTTCGCGACATCACATTTATCGGAAAATATTTTACTAGATTTCCTTCTGTGGCCTTGCTCGTATATAATTCCGATTTATCGAGTCTCAAAATCACCCTACTTTATCTTCTCTTCGAAAAGTTAATGGTAAAAGTTTTTTCATATCACTCTTTTGGTTTCAGAAGTCTAAAAAATGATTCTTTGTACCTATAGTAAAATGTATAACGCAATGCGAATTATAGGTGGCAAAACTTTAAGCCCTTTACTCTAGTTCAAAAGACAACAGTTACGCAACTACATAATTATAATATAATAATGAAAAAGATGAATATAATAAAGTTAATACTTCATCGCCATACCACCGTCTGTCAGTTCATTCACCGCAAGCTTAATTTAATACAAAAGGGTATTAAGATCGTATTCAGACGACAGATTTAATACGGATAAAGCATTTCATAAAGTCAGACAATAAGAGATTATGATAAAGTCCGAAAAATAGGCATATAAATATACATTACGTAATCTTAGAACTAATATAATAAAACTAAATGGCTAATTTACTTAATTGCGTGTGCGTTTCTCTAGAATAAATTCTTTATGAATATTATACGTATCAAGAAACAGACATAAAACTGAAAAAAAAAAACATAAATAATAGGCAAATGTGCACATGAACTATTAATATCTGTGTAGAAAGATGAATAACTGTATCGAACATACGGAATGCTGTCAATATTTATTGCGAGCGCGTGTATTCGGTTCGTAGCGCATGGCATCTCTGCTACGCCATAGTGAAACATCCCTACTGGTAATGATAAAAATAGCTACGAAGCATGCGTAGCGTGGGTGACACGTAGCGCGTACTGGGTTATCTCTACGTATCTATGACTTGCGTAGTGACTACGAAACGTATAGTTAGTTTACCACTACTATTTTCTGTTTATAAAAATGTGTAAATCTCACTTGTAGCATTCAATAAAAAAGCTTGCTTAGTTCATAATTATTATAACAGAATATTCTGTAACTGTGCTTTAAACTAATTCATATTAGAGTTATAGTATGCCCTATTACATTTATGAATGGTATACATATTTTTGATTGAGGAAAGCTATCCAATTTATACTGAAACACTTAGGAATCAAATGGATTGTGGATACAATAAAACTCGTACTACAACGTTACAATTCATCTATTTACAATATTTAATTACACGTTTAATACTATATAAACAGTCGTCTGAACACCAGCTTAAGTTAAAGCAATGTGCAAGTTATCAAAACAACATGAATTTAATATGGCTGGTTGGCCCGGAGGGGCGCTAATCAAGTTACAACTTAGTTATACCAACTAGTTACTTGTTTCACTATATTGCCCTCATAATTCACAATATGCAAGTGCAGCTGGGCGGGGTACGAGTTAACGAGGTTTTTTATTTGCTTTTTTATGGACGGTAAAAGAGCAGACGGATCACCAGATGGTAAGCAATCGCCGCAATGGACACCTGAAACACCAGCGGCGTTACAAGTATGTTACCGGCCTTTTGGGAATTGAGAATTTAAAGTTTGTGGGGTATTTGGGTGGTAGGAGGAGGGGGGTGTAATTGGGCCTCCGGTAACCTCACTCACACGACGAAACACAGCGCAAGCGTTTTTTCACGTCGGTGTTCTGTGAGGCCGTGGTCCGGTTGAGCCGATAACCCGGAATGTTGATGTAGATGATGAAAATAATAAATAACATAACAACATAACATAACATAACATTACGCCTTTTATCCCCGAAGGGGTAGGAAGAGGTGTACATTATACCACTGTACAATGTAACACCCACTTTTCACTATTTATGTTATGAGTCCCATGTAATAGGGGGTGAACCTATTGCGATATACCGGGCACAATTCCAGACTCAGTGCTACTACTGACAATATTTAAAAACCCAGTAATACTTTGGCCGACCCGGGAATCGAACCCGAGACTCCTTGCTCGGCAGTCGCACTTACGACCACTCGGCCAACGAGGCAGAGAATAATAAATCTAAGTTACAAAAGCAAATAACTTTAGTA